CGAGCCCGGGGCTCCGCCGGCACCACTCGGTGCTGCTCCGCTCTTAAGCCTCGTCCCCGGTGCTCCGGGACCTTTGGGCGCGGCGCCCCCCGCCGTGACTGCAGCCACGATGTCGCAGGGCACCGGGGACCTCGTCCTGCTCCTCGCCGCGCTCCTCTGGGTACCGGGTAAGCTGAAGCCCCGCGGCGCTGGTGCCGATGTCCTGGCCCCACATCCTGGAGCTGGGGAGGGGGGGGGGTACCCAAATGTCTTGGGTTTGGGGCTGGCGCTGGTCGTGGTGGTGCTCTGGAACCATCGTGGGGATGCCAGCCCCAGCCCCACTAGGGCACATCCATGGGGATGCTGCGGTGGCACAAAGAGCTGCTGGCCCCCACCAAAAGCCCTTCTGGGTCGTAGCTGCATGGGGATATCGATGACGAGCACCAAGGTCCCCCCATGGAGCTGATTGTGCCCCCCCTCACCCCACCAGGGCCATCCCCGACGTTGTCCATCCACGTGTACACGCAGCGGGAAGTGTACGGCACCGTCGGCTCCCACGTCACCCTCTCCTGCAGCTTCTGGTCATCCGAGTGGATCTCCGACGACATCTCCATCACTTGGCACTTCCAAGCCGAGGGCTCCCGCGACAGCACCTCCGTAAGCACCCGCTGGGTGGCCCTGGGGTGCTGTGGCCCCCGGCGCCCCCGGTGACGCCGATGTCCGTGTGCGTGTCCCCTTCCACCCGTAGATATTCCACTACGCCAAAGGCCAACCCTACATCGATGACGTGGGCACCTTCAAGGAGCGCATGGAATGGGTGGGCAACCCCTACCGCAAGGACGGCTCCATCGTCATCCACAACCTGGACTACACCGACAACGGCACCTTCACCTGCGACGTCAAGAACCCTCCGGACATCGTGGGCAAGTCCTCCCAGGTCACGCTCTACGTCTTTGAGAAAGGTACGGAGCCGCAATTCCCGTTCCCAAACATCCCTGTTCCCATCCCGGAGCCGCTAACGGGGCCTCCCCGCAGTGCCCACCCGCTACGGCGTGGTGCTGGGCTCCATCATCGGTGGGGCCCTGCTGTTGGTGGCCGTGGTGGTGGCCATCGTCTACATCCTCCGGGCGTGCTGGCTGCGGCGCCAGGCGACGCTGCAGCGCCGGCTGAGGTGAGCGCCAGCACCAAACCAGAGTGAACCTCCCCAAACCGGTGCTGCCGGTGGGAACAGGGAGGGGGAATGGATTTGCCTTTTCCAAGCTCCTTTTTGTCCTTTTCCCCCCAATTTTAGTGCCATGGAGAAGGGGAAGCTGCAAAGATCGGCCAAGGATGCTTCCAAGCGGAGCCGGCAGGTGGGTAGTGAGGGGTTGAGGGGTGAAATGGCTTTGCTGGAGGGGGTGTGATGCTCTCTCCTCTGTTTTGGTGACACTGGGGGGAGGGGGTGTGTTAGGATGTCACCAACACCTCCCCGTTGCCACAGGCACCGGTGCTTTACGCCATGCTGGACCACAGCCGCAGCACCAAGGCAGCGAGTGAGAAGAAAGCCAAAGGAGCTCCGGGAGAGTCCCGCAAGGATAAGAAATAGCGGTTAGCGGGCAGGGAAGGTACAGCGGGGCCGGGCACCGGGGCCCCTCGGTCCCCCAAAGTCATCATGACCATCGAGATGGAGCTGCGGGGGGAGGAGGCTGAGGCCCCCCGCCCTGCACCCGCCGTCCGCTCCCCCAGCAAGGGCAGCCTCAAGAACGCCCTCATGAGCATCATCAAGCCCAATGCGGGGACCTGATGCCCCAGCAGGACGTGGGGACACCCCCCCCCCCCCGCTCCGGAAGCGGCGGGGACCCGGCGGGGAGCGGGGTGTGCTCCTCGCCCCGGTCCCCCCCTCCGGGTCCCCCCCCATCATGGTCGGTACCTTCCTCTGCGCAGCCGCTGCCCTGCCCAGCCCCGGGCACTGATGGGGCTCTCTTCTATTTGGAGACACAACCAATGAGTTTTGGGGTGGTTTCCCCCAGCCCGGGGTGCCCCGGGCCCCCCCTCCCCAGGGACCTGCGGGGTCCCCATGGGCCCGGTTCACCCCAACACCATCTCCCCCCCCCCCCCAAACCCCATCCCCGGGAGGGTTTTTTTTGCCCTTTTCTGGCCGTTTTCTCGTCTCTTCCCCACGACCGAACCCAAATGACGTCGTGGGGGGCCCCCGCCGCGCCCCCTCCGCCCCCCATTAACCCTCCGTGTCCCCCCGTAACCCCCAGCCCCGCGTCGGCCGGAGCCTCGTGGAGGAGGAGAGGCTGCGGCCGGTGCCCATCACCCTGGCGCCAGGCTCCCCGATGTGGTTTTGTACCCCCCCCATCCATGTGTGTGTGTGTGTTTGTGTCCCCATCCCCATAGTGCCATTAATAAAACTCACACCTCCAGGACCCGGTGTCCATCCGTCCATCCCTGTCCCCCCCCACCCTGTGTCTGTGGCGGGGGGGGGGGGGTGACAGGGACACACACAGTGGCTGAGCATCACATGGAAACCCACCATAGAACGGTGGCACCCCACTGCCTCCCCCCCCCATTCCCCCTGTTGTCCACGAAGCCACCCTTGGGGCCACTTTCCCCCTCATTAGACGCTCATTAAAGCTCCCTCCAATTAACACAGGTCGGGGGAGGGTGACTGTCCCCATCCCCGTAGTGCCCGTGCCCAATGCCCCCCCCCCGGGGGCTATAATTGGCTTTTCCCTAATAAGTCTGCGGAGCCCAACCCCGGGACGTCCCCTGGGTCCCGGCGCTGTTTTTCTTCCCAAGAAGCTATTCCCGGTCACCGGCACCGCTTGGACCAGCCTCAGTGCTCGGGATCTCCCCCCCCCCCTCGAAGCGCTGGTTTAGCCCCCCCCAAAAAGCGTTGTTCCCTTGTTATGAGCCGGGATCTGCTGCTCCAGGGATGCCGGAGCTGGGAATCGCTGCTTGGTCCTTGCCGAGGAAGAGAGGGGGTAAAAGGAGGGGGGTAGGAAGAAGGGAGGGAAGGGGGGAGCAGCAGCAGCATCTTTAATCACCGCAGCGCGCTGGGAAATGAGGCCGCGGCTCCAGGGGCTGAGGAATGAAGCGGAATTTCATGGGATAAGCCCCGAATGAGGGGGTGCTGGAAATGCGGGCGGGATGAGCCGTTCCCAAAGTGCCATAGCCCCATAGCCCTGCTCCCCTCCTGCCCCAGCAGGGACCCACGGGGGACGGGGGGGTCCGGCCCCACACACCAAGCGCCACTCGCGCTCCTCTTCCTCCCGCTTTATTCCTTCACATCCTTCCCCGGGGTGGGGACGGTGACAACGACAGGAACGTGGGGGGGGGCTCCCCGTTTCCCGAGGCCGCTGCCCTCACTCAGGGGGACACCGCTGCTTGTGCCCCCCCCCTTCCTTGTCCCCAGCACCCACAGGGACACGGAGGCTCCCCCCCGGGATAAGACTTCCACGCTGCCCCCTCGCACCAGGGGCCACCTCCGCTCAGGGGGACCCGCCTGTGTTGTGCCCCCCCACCCCAGCATCACCCCGTGGGTAAGGAAGGGCTGAGGCCCCCCCTTTCCGGCCCCGCTGGGGTCGGGCGGACGGGGCAGGAGCCGGTGCCCGCCGCGGGTTGGGGGGTCCCGGGGGCCGCTCAGGGCCCCGATTCCTTCTTCTGCTTCTGGAAGCGGCGGAATTTTCCCTGGATGGCGAGCGCGGCTCTCTCCGTCTCCGGCGCGCTCAGGTCGATGTCGATCTCCTCCTCCTCCTCCTCCTCCTCCACCTTCTTGGGGTCACCGGCTTTGGCTGGACATAAAACAGGGGCACCCCCAGACTCACCCATTGAGTACCCGCACCCCACCCCCCCCAGAGGCAGGGAGCACCCCGCTAAGGGACAGGGGAAGGACGAAGCAGGTCCCCAACCCTCCCAATGCGTCCCCCCCCGCCTCGGGTCTGGGTCACCGGGTGCCCCCTCCCGTTCATACCGGGTGAGGGGGGGGGTCCTCACCTTCCTCCTGCCCGCCGGGAGCCTCCGCCGCCGATGGGGTCTCATTGGGGCTGCGCTGCGGAGAGAACGGGGTGCCCGGGGATGACGCGGGGCTCCCGGTAGCAAACCCGCACCGGGGGGCATTTACCGGGACCCCTCCCCGGTTGCAGCATCCCCCCCCCTCCCCATCCTCACGGGGCAGCTCCTGGCCCGGTTCTTTGTTCAATACGAAGGGAAAGGGGAGGAAAAGCCCCGGGGCCGGTGCCCACCTCGCTCATGGCCGCTCCGGTGCCGCCGCTCCCGGTGTGCGGAGCCCCGCGCCCGCCGCTGTCTTTATAGGGGGCTTGGCTGAGTGACGGCTGCGGCAGCCAATGGGGAGCGGGAACGGGGCTGGGGGCGGGACAAGCCCTTCCGCGTGTCTCACACCCCCCCCCCCCCCCATCCGTGCCTCGACGCCCCGCGGGGACACGGGGGGACAGGGAGGGGACAAAGGGGGACAGGGGGGGTATGGGGGGGGGACAAGGGGGACCCAGAGGGGACTGGGGGAAAAGGGGAGTATGGGGGGACCCAGGGGAAAAGGGGAGGAGCAGAAGGAAAACAGGGGGACAAGGGGGCACTGGGGGGGGAAGGGAGGAGATGGGAGGACCTAGGGAAAAGGGAGGGACTGGGGGGATCGGGGGGGGGGACGACACAAAGGGGAACCAGGGGGACCAAGGGGACCGGGGGGGATAGATGGGGTACTCAGGGCACAGGAGGGAGGCAGGGGGATGCGCAGGACAGTGGGGGGACCCCAGGGGGACAAGAGGGGACTGGGAGAACCTGGGGGGAACAGGGGTGATGGAGGCAACGGGGGGGGGACCCCAGCCATTGTCACCCCCTCTGCGCCCTGCGCCTGTCCCTGCTCCCGCCCTGCCCGGCCCCGGCCCCCGCCCCGCGCTCCTGTCCCCGCCTGCCGCAGCCCCAAGTTCAAGGTTCAAACTCCACCGGGCTCCGGCAGCGGCTCCGGTGTCATCAGGGCCGAGCCCGTGGCTGCGCCGTGACAGGCACCGGGGGGGGGGGGGGGGGCCACCGGCTCCGCTGCCAACCCCGGCCGCGGTCACCGGTGCCCCGGGCATGTCCGTGTCGAGCCCATCGGAGCCCGAGAGCAGCCCCTGCTCAGTGCTGGGGCCCCGCGGCGCTGATGCGGAGCCCGCCGAGGAGAAGATCTGCGCCGTGTGCGGGGACCGCGCCACCGGGTACCACTTCCACGTCATGACCTGCGAGGGCTGCAAAGGGTTCTTCAGGTGGGAAGGGCAGGGATGGGACAGGGGAGGGGGACAGCGGGAGGTGGGATGGACAAGATGGGATGGAACGGGATGGGACAGAAGAGGGGGACAAGCTGGATTGAAACGGGACAGGATGGGACAAGATGGGATGAGATTGAAAAGGATGCAATGAGATGGACAAGAAGAGGAGGAGAAGATGGAATGGGATGAGGTGGGACAGGATGGGTTGGGACAGAAGAGCAGGACAAGATCAGATGAAATGGGATGGGATAGGATGGGATGGGATGGAGCAAAGAGAGAAGATGGGATGGGACGGACAAGATGGATGGGAATGGAATAGGACAGAAGAGGGGGACAAAATAGACTGAAGTGGGACAGGGTAGGATGGAGCAGAGGGACAAGATGGGATGGGATGAACGGGATGAATTGAAATGGGAGGGACAGGGTGGGATGGGACAGACAGGGTGGACTGAAACGGGACAGGATGGGATGGGACAGAAGAGGCCAAGATGGGACCTGAGAGACTGAAACAGGGCAAGACAAAGGGACACGGCAGGATGGAACAAACCCCATGGGCATCTTTGGCATGGCACAAGGTGGGGTGGCCTCTGCCCCTCCACATTGGGGTCCTCCAGTGACAGTCCCCCGTCCCCCCCCAAGGCGCTCCATCAACAAGGGGGTCCAGTTCACGTGCCCCTTCTCCCAGAGCTGCCCCATCACCAAAGCCAAGCGCCGGCAGTGCCAGGCCTGCCGCCTGCAGAAGTGCCTCGACGTGGGCATGCGGAAGGACAGTGAGTACGGGGACACCGGATGGGGGGGGGGATGAGGAAGGGTGCCCCAACCCCTTCCAAAGAGCGGGGCCAAGCGGCTGCCGCCCTGACGGCGGTGCCGGTGGCAGTGATCATGTCGGAGGAGGCTCTGCGGCGGCGCCGGGCGCTGCGGCGGCAGCGGCGCTTGGCGCTGGCAGCACCGGGACCGGGGGGGCTGTCGGCGGAGCAGCAGGAGCTCATCGCGCTCCTCATCGCCGCGCACCAGCAAACCTTCGACTCCAGCTTCTCCCAGTTCACGGACTACCGGGTGAGTGGGGACGGGGACACCGCCTGTGTGTGCGTGTGTGTCCCCCCCCTCCCCTTTTCCTCGTCATGGTGGTGCTGACATCCCCCCCCCCGTCCCCAAGCCCGCTGTTCGCCTCTACATCCCCAGCCTGCAGAGCCCCCCGGAGCCCGGCGGCGGCACCGCGGCGTGGCCCGAGCGCCTGGACGAGGATGTGCTGCCCGATGTGTTCTCGATGCTGCCCCACTTCGCCGACCTCAGCACCTTCATGATCCAGCAGGTCATCAACTTCGCCAAGGAGATCCCGGCCTTCAGGTGCCCGGGAGAGGATGGAAAAGGGATGGGGACCCCCCCCCACCGAGGGACCCTTCCCTGAGCTATCCCTTGTGTCCCTATTCCCCCAAACCCCCCCGGCAGGAGTTTGCCCATCGATGACCAGATCTCGCTGCTGAAAGGAGCCACGCTGGAGATCTGCCAGATCCAGTTCAACACCGTCTTCAACGCCGAGACCAACGCCTGGGAGTGCGGGCAGCACTGCTACACCATCCAGGACGGTGCCTTGGGTGAGGACACGGGGGGGGGGACACGACACCGGTGACACGGACCCCGGTACCAGCCCCGTCACCCTGTGCCCCCTCCCCGCAGCCGGGTTCCAGCAGATTTACCTGGAGCCGCTGCTCAAGTTCCACATCAGCCTCAAGAAGCTGGGGCTGCACGAGGCCGAGTACGTCCTGCTCCAGGCCATGCTGCTCTTCTCACCTGGTGAGCACCGAGGGGGGGACGAGGGGGACGGGGCCACGTCCCCTTGGTGCCACCCCTGACATCCCCCCCCCCCCCGCCCAGACCACGCCAGCATCACCCAGCACGACTCCATCGACCAGTTCCAGGAGAAGGTGGCATTGACCCTCAAGAGCTACATTGACCACCAGCACCCCATGCCCGAGGGCAGGTACAGCCCCAGTGCTTCACATCCCCCCTTATCCATCCCACCTACCCCATACCCTACACACACCCACCCCCCCGTCCCCATCCCAGGTTTCTCTACGCGAAGCTGCTGCTGCTGCTGACGGAGCTGCAGACGCTGAAGGTGGAGAACACGCGGCAGATCCTGCACATCCAGGACCTGTCCTCCATGACGCCGCTGCTCTCCGAGATCATCAGCTAAACCCACCCGGCATTCCCGGTGCTCCCAGCACAGCTCCCCAAGCAGAGTAAAGCTCCTTTATTTTTCCAGGCTCTGCGTGTGCCCAGAGCCAAGGGAGGGACCCCCCCCCCCCAGGCCCCGAGCAGCGGCCGCTCCTCACCCCCAAGCTGCCACCGGGCACCGTGCGCCGCCCATCCCCGTGTCCCCACGGCACCGGAGACCGGCTCCCCCGGGCTCCACGGGCTCCCCCGGCCCGGCCCGGTCCCGGTCCGGCCCCGGTCAGCGGCTCCATGCAGGGCAGGTGCCGCTCTTCAGCCCACGATGACGCTGAAGCCGCAGTGGAAACGGTTCTTCCAGTGGTTGAGGAAGGCGCCCAGAGCCAGGGTGACGGGCAGGGGGGGCAGCTTCTTCTCCAGCACCCCCCCGACGCTCCAGTTACTGTCCACGAGCCCTGTGGTGGCGTTGGGGGCACACGGTGAGCACCGGGACGGTGCTGGGGCCACCAGGGCCGGCGCAGCTCCGGGCTCACCTCTGAACACCATGTTGGCTTGGGGCAGGTTGAGCTGGTAGCCAAAGGCAAAGGTGGTTTCCTGCAGCCGTGTGTTGGCCTCCAGCTCCACCCCGACCTGTACCTGGGGATGGGGGACATGGAACCGTGAATCCCAAGGGCTGGGCACGCACGGGGAGGGGGACGTGGGGATGAGGCCATCACCTGCTCGTTGGCGCGGTGGTAGTAGCTGGCATGGGCTCCGCCGTAGCCCACGTTCAGCGTCGCGACCCACTTCTGAGCTGGAAGAGAAGCCAAGAGGAGGGCGAAGGGAGCCAGGGGGGTCCCCATATCCCGTCCCCCCCCCAGACCCATCCCTGTTCCCCCCCTTTCCATCACCGTCCCCATGCCCCACGTGCCCCCGTACCCGTGTATTTCCCCGCCAGCGTGAGGATGGCTCCTTCCTCGCCCGGCCGCCGGTGATAAACCATCTCCCCCCCCAGCACCAGGCGTGGGGTGATGCTCTGCAGGAAATGGGCCACCAGGATCACTGTGGGGACACACAAAAGCCCTCAGTGCGTGGCCACCCCCCCCCTTTGTCCCAGTGCCACACTTTGTGGGGGGGGGAATGGTCCTGGTGCTCACCGGAGCCGCCGAGCAGGTCGGGGTTACCCAGCGTGAGGGTGGCGGTGCAGTCGTCGCCCCGGTACTCGCCGTCGAACTGCCACGTCACGAACTTGGCCTGGTGGGTCTGGAAAGGGGGGGAAACGGGGGACACCGAGGGTCCCGTCACCGCGCTGGGGATGGGGACAGGAACATCCCCCCCCCAACCCCACGGTGGTCCCTGCATGGAGTCACCTGGAAGACGGCTTTGGTGCGGATGCGCTCGGCGATGAGGTGCAGCACTTGGGCGTTGAGGCTGCCGGCGCTGTCCATGTCCCCAACCAGCGTGGGGAAGGCCTGGGGACAAGGGGAAGGGGGTGACAAAGGGGGGTGACAGGGAGCGGACCCCCAGCCACCCCCTGCCGGGCCTCACCTCGGTGGGGCTGAGCTGCCGGTCACCCACGAAGGTGGCGTTGAAGCGGTAACCGGAGGGTCCCAACGTGCTCATGTGAATGGTGTGGGTCACCTGTGGGGAAGGAACCTCAGCGGGGGGGACACGGACACTGGGGGGGGGGACACGGGGGGGAACTGGACACAGGGGGACAAGGACATGGGGGGACAGGGACATGGGGGGGACACGGGGGGAAAGGGACACAGGGGGGACACAAGGGGACATGGACACGGGGAGACACGGGGACAGGGACATGGGGGGGACATGGACACAGGGGGACATGGAGGGACAGGGACATGGGGGGGACAGGGACACAGGGGCCCACGGACACGGGGGGACATGGGGGGACATGGACACGGGGAGACACAGAGATGGGGGGACACAGGGGGACAGGGACATGGGGGGGACACGGACAAAGGGGGACATGGAGGAACAGGGATAAGGGGGGGACAGGGACAAGGGGGGGGCATGGACACAGGGACATGGGGGAGGACACGGACACGGGGGGGACACGGACACAGGGGGACATGAGGGGGACATGGGGGGGACCTGGACACAGGGAGACACAGACATGGGGGGACACGGGGACAGGGACATGGGGGGGACATGGACACAGGGGGACATGGAGGGACAGGGGGACGGGGGGGGGGACAGGGACATGAGGGGGGACATGGACACAGGGGGACAGGGATATGGGGGACCACGGACACGGGGGGACATGGGGGGACATGGACACTGGGAGACACAGACATGGGGACACACAGGGGGACAGGAACATGGGGGGGACACGGGGGGACATGGGGGGACAGGGACACGGGGGGGACACGGGGGGACATGGACACGGGGAGACACAGACATGGGGACACACAGGGGGACAGGAACATGGGGGGGGGACACGGACAAAGGGGGACATGGAGGAACAGGGATAAGGGGGGGACAGGGACAAGGGGGGGGCATGGACACAGGGACATGGGGGAGGACACGGACACGGGGGGGACACGGACACAGGGGGACATGAGGGGGACACGGGGGGGACCTGGACACAGGGAGACACAGACATGGGGGGACACAGGGGGACAGGGACATGGGGGGACACGGACATAGGGGGACATGGACACAGGGAGACACGGACACGGGGGGGGACACGGACACAGGGGGACATGGAGGAACAGGGGGACGGGGGGGGACATGGACACAGGGGGACAGGGATATGGGGGACCATGGACACGGGGGGACAGGGACATGGGGGGGGACATGGACACAGGGGAACAGGGATATGGGGGACCACGGACACAGGGGGACATGGGGGGACACGGGGGGACACGGACACGGGGAGACACGAACACGGGAAGACACAGACCTGTGGGGACACAGGGGGACAGGGACATGGGGGGGACATGGACACAGGGGGACATGGGGGGGGGACACGGGGGGGACCAGGACACAGGGAGACACAGACATGGGGGGGGACAGGGACATGGGGGGGACACGGACACAGGGGGACATGGGGGGGGACACGGACACGGACACGTGGGGGGACAGGGACAAGGGGGGCAGGGACACAGGGGGAACACGGACACGGACAAGGGGGACACACGGACAAGGGGGACACACACACACGGCCCCCCCCTTCCCCCCGGGGCTCCCCCCCCTGACCTGGAAGTGGCTGCTCAGGGTCTTGGTGACCAAAAGCTTCACCCCCTCCATCTGCTGCGGGAACACCTCTGCGGAGCGCGGGCCGGGGTGAGCGGGGCCCGGAGCCGCACCGGAGCCTTCCCCCCGGTGCCCCCCGCCGCACCTTTGCACTGCCGGTGCAGCTCATCGAAGCTCCCGGGGCTCCCGAGCGGCTCCCCCCGGCGCGGGGCGCGGGGGGCGGCGGGGCCCAGCACGTTGCCCATGGCCGGGTCCCGGAGCTAAACCCGCCCGGTTCCGGTTCCAGCCACGGCCACGGCCCGGGCCCCACCGGGCGCCGCCATCGCGGGCACCGCCGCCACCGGAAGCGGCTTCTGGAGGCCGCGCCCGCTCGAAGCCGCCGCCGCCATGTTGGGTGCGGGCAGCGCTCGCTGCTCATTGGCTGAGCCGCAGGGGCGGGGCCGCTCATTTGCTGTGTTCCCCCCCGGAACTCAGGACCCGCGCAGGGAGGTTCCGGGGGTGCCGCGTTCCGGCTCCTCCCGTGTGTGTGTCCCCCCCCATCGCATCCCTGTGCCCGTCTCAGGGGTACCCCCTTTATCGCCCTCTCCCTGCATCCCTGGACCCCCTCTTGTCCCGTTCCCTCCCCACATCCCGCACGCTCCTGCCTGTGTCCCAGTTCCCCTTTATTCCCCTTTCATCCCCTGTTATCCCCCTATGTCCCCCCCAAACCCCACCCGCCCCCATCTCCTCTGCCCCATGTCCCCCCCCCCCCCATGTCATTCCCTCTCCATGGCCCCGGTGCCCCCCCCCCCAGGGAACCCCCCCGTGTTCCCGGGGGCACAGGGAGGTCCCGGTGCCGCCCCCCCGCCCTTTGCCCGCGTGTCCCCGATCAGCCCGGGGCTGACCCCGGGGTCCGTGTGTCCCCCCCCCGGGACCCCCCCCCCCCTCGCTCCGCGTCACCGTCACGTTGGAGGCCGAGGGTCAGTGATAAGGGCGGGCACCGACCTTCGCCCAGCGGTCACAAAGGGGGCGCAGGTCCCATGGGTGCCCACCCCCCACCCCCCCCCAAGCTGGGACCCTGGTGTGGGGCAGCAGAGGGGGGAGGGGGGGGCATGGGGCGGTTCTGGGGGTCCCAGTGCCCAGCGTGCCATGGGGAGCCCCCCAGCCCAAAGCCTGGATCACTGGCACCCAGCATCTGTGTCCTGCTTGCGCCATGGGGATATGGGGACACGGGGATGGGATGTGGGGACACGGGGATGGGATATGGGGACACGGGGATGGGATATGGGGACACGGGGTTGGGATATGGGGACACGGGGTTGGGATATGGGGACACGGGGTTGGGATGTGGGGACACAGGGATGCGACATTGGGACACGGGGATGGGACACGGGGACATAGGGACAGGACACGATGTGTGGGGCCACCTTGGCGAGGCCAAGAGGGGGCGGCCCCCACACGACCCTTACCCCCATGGTGTTTACCCAGGCCCGGCCCCCCCGGCCGGGGGGCGGGAGCTGATCCCGAGGGATAAAAAGAGCCCCCGAGAGGCCCCCATAGCCCTGAGTCCTGCCCAGGTGAGGGGCACCGGTGCTGGGCAGGACGGGGCTGGATGGGGGCAGGACGGGGAAGGGCTGGAGCCACGGGGTTGGAATGGGATAGGGATGGAGCTGTGGGGCTGGAAAGGGGCAGGATGGTGCCAGTGGAGCTGCGGGGCTGGGCTGAGGCTGTGGGGTGGGATGGGACAGGAATGGGGCCGTGGGGCAGGGATGGGGCGGGAGCAGACCCTGGGGCTGTAGGGCCACCGGGGACCCCAGCCCCATGGTGACAACGCCCCGTGCCCTGCGCCCCAGCCCGACGAGATGAAGGCGGTGACGGGCGCGATGCTGCTGCTGTTGGTGCTGGGTCCCGTCCAAGCTGCGCTGTCCCGGAGGGAGGCCCCGGCCGAGGGCGCTCCCGAGGTCCCGGCCGAGGACTTCTTCAGCCGCCACCTCCAGAGCTTCTCGGACTTCATGACCAAGGACCTGCCCCAGAGGCTGCAGGTGGAGGAGATGCGGAGCCAGGCAGAGTACGGAAGGGATGGGGGGCACGGGGGCTGCAGCCCCATCCGCGGTCCCTTCCCCATTCCCGGTCCCTTCCCCATTCCCGGTCCCTTCCCCATCCCCGGTCCCTTCCCCATTCCCGGTCCCTTCCCCATCCCCGCTCCCATTGCCCGTTCCCACTCCCATCCCCAGCACCGGTCCCGTCCCCGCTCCCATTGCCCGTCCCCGCTCCCATTGCCCGTCCCCGCTCCCATTGCCCGTCCCCGCTCCCGTCCCCTTCCCCGCTCCCGTCCCCTTCCCCGCTCCCGTCCCCGCTCCCGTCCCCGTCCCCATCCCCGCTCCCGTCCCCATCCCCTTTTCCCTCCCCAGGGCGTACCTGGACCGGGCCAACAAGCAGCTGACGCCGCTGGCCCAGGAGCTGCGGAGCAACGTCCTGGGGCTCTTCTCCTCCCTCCTGGACCTGGGCAAGAGCAAGGAGCAGCCCTGAGCCCCCCCCCCCCGCCCTGCCCTCCCCACGGCGGCCCCCGGGCCCCACTGCTGCCCCCCCCCCCCCCAATAAACCCCTTGAGTTGCTGCTGTGACCCCTGAGCTGTGGGGATGGGAATTAGGGGAGGTGGGAATGGGAGGACGTGAATTAGGGGAGGTGGGAATGGGAGGACGGGAATTAGGGGAATAGAACTGGGGGGATGGGAATGGGAGGATGGGAATTGTGGACACAGGAATTAGGGGATAGGGACTCGGGGAAGGGAATGGAGGGATGGGAATTAGGGGGATGGGAATTGGGGGACATGGGAATTGGGGGGCAATAGAATTGGAGGGGATGGGGATGGAGAAATAGGAATTGAAGGATAGGAATTAGGGGAGATGGGAATGAAGGGATAGGAACTGGAGGACAGGAATTGGGGGGATGGGAACTGGGGGATGGATTTGGGGCGATGGAAAATAGGAGGGCAGGAATTAGGGGAGTAGAATGGGGAATGGGAATTAGGGACATGGGAATTGGGGGGATGGGAATGGGAGGATGGGAATTGTGGACACAGGAATTAGGGGATAGGGACTTGGGGAAGGGAATGGAGGGATGGGAATTAGGGGGATGGGAATTAGGGGCATGGGAATTGGGGGGATAGAAGTAGGGGGATGGGATTTAGGGGACATGGGAATTGGGGGGGACAGGAATTGGAGCGGATGGGGATGGAGAAATAGGAATTAGGGGAGATGGGAATGGAGGAGTGGGAATTGGAGGGATGGGAATGGGAGGACAGGAATTGGGGGGATGGGAATTGGGGGACAAGGGAATTGGAGGGATGGGAATAGGGGGATGGATTTGGGGGGATGGGAGTTGGGGGGCAGGAATTAGGGGAATAGAATTGGGGGAAGGGAATGGAAGGATGTGAATTATGGGGATGGGAATAGGGGGATCAGGAATAGGGGGGGACAGGAATTGGGGGGATGGGAATGGGAGGACAGAAGCCGGGGGGATGGGAATTTGGGGATGGGAATTAGGGGAATAGAACTGGGGGGATAGGAATTAGGGACACGTGAATTGCGGGGGATGGGAGAATGGGAATTGGGGACACAGGAATTAGGGGACAGAAATTGGGGGAAGGGAATGGAGGGATGGGAATTATGGGGATGGGAATGGGGGGGATGGGAATGGAGGGAATAGAATTAGGGGGATGAGAAATGGGGGACATGGGAACTGGGGGGGACAGGAATTGATGGGAATGGGAATGGAGGGATAGGAATTAGGGAAGGTGGGAACGGAAGGATGGGAATTGGGGGGTGGGAATGCAGGGACGGGAATGGGGGGATGGATTTGGGGGGATGGGAACAAGGCCACGGGACT